ATAGTCATACAATTACCTATTAATATATTATATCACCATCATATAACTGATAGATTAATTAGGAACATGCCCTCTAACAATCACATGTCCCTGTACCCACTTGCTTGGTTATTATGGAATTTTCCAGCTCCTTCCATAAGAGGCGGTGTGTATTTCCTCCCAGCTTGGGCGTCTGAGACCTATCCTGTAACATGCCATTATGCTGATAGGAATTTCCCGAAGCCAATGCGTTGGTCCAGCTTGAGCCTAGACATGAAAAAGGCTTTGCACGTGTTTCCACTCACTGCCTTGGGGGTCGTGCGCTGGTTCGAAGACAAACCTGGCTGGATGGCCTTGGACGATAAAGGAACTGCATGGGAAGAGGGGCCGGCCGTTCAGACAGATGCCCATGGACATCCTGAAGCATGAGCTGCCTTCCACTGCCCTGATGCACATGAGAGCCCGGCCAGGAACGAAGGACTGACCTGAGTTTAGGCTGAGGCCCAGGCTTAATTTTCTAACATGGAATTTTGAGCTCATAAATGCTTTTTGCATTAAGCCTCTGGTGTTAACTGGGTTTGTTTTTTAACCTGTGATATGGTATCAAATATGGTCTCCTACCACATAAAATGAAGAACACACCTCCAAAAAAAAAAAAAAGCAGTAAGAAACACACAAAGATAAATTCTAAAGAAAAAAGGATAACAAGGCGGAAATGCTGAAGCCCTGAGGCTGCGGATACAGTTTGTTAGGCGGCTCCCTAAACAGACTAAGGCGTCCACTCTGCACCAGAGCTTCTCAAGTGAGGCCCCTGAACAGCAACCTCAACATCACCTGGGATCTTGTCAGAAAAGCAAATTCTTCCCTCATCCCAAGTCAGCTGTCAGTGAACTCCAGGAAACAGCATGAGCTCATTAAATTTCTTTAAATCAAAACAATGTTTTACGTAAAATTCCTGTTGCTCTTGTTACCATGGTTTTTCTCGATGGGATCCCAGAGCACTATAGGCCACCAGAACAATGTCTTTTGACTTGCAGAAATCCAGCAGTTTTCTCTGGTTGAGGTAAGGATGACATTCCACCTGCAGATGAGCAAGATGGAAAAGCATCAGATAATCCAAAAGTTATATTAATATTAAAATCACCAAAGTAAAAGAAGCCGAATAATATAGAGCATTAAATTCGAACTGAGAATATTATTGTCAAGAAATGATCTTTTTCATAAAAATAAATTTTATGCCCCTCTGTCCTAAGAAAATAGAAATGTTATTTTTGAGCACAAGCAACTCTACGAACCCTATCCTGGTTTCTCAATAACTCCGACGACTAGAAGGAGACACGGCCCATTTCAGAGCTGGGATGAGGTAAGGTTCTTTGAGCTTTGGGCATCATATCGTGCCAGAAATCAAGAATTTGGTCAAAGAGTCATGAGAGCAGGTCTGAAAGACAAAAGAACTAGTTTCCTAATTAATAACCAAAATGTATACATATATATGTATGTTTTCTAATTCATCTAACATATTTTATACATATCATATATGCCATCTATGAGATACATATTTATACATATATAATGGATGAACTAGAAAACATACATATATGTATAAATACTGATGCTTTTAATTATCTTTCATTACTTTTCCTTTATGTATGATGGATTTGTATGGTGACATCTCAAATGTCACCAGTGGGTTTCCTATGAAACAAGTGCGTTTGTCTTTTAGACCTACCCTCAGGAGTCTTTGACCAAATTATTCTTTCATATATATATATATACACACACACACACATATATATATATGCACATTTATACCTACTGAGTAGATATGAGCATTGAAAAATAAGTAAAATGAATTAAAAAGCCTAGGACAAAAATCCATGAGTCTATAGTAATTAGTGAGAGAATGAAAAAAAGAATACAAATATTTGTCTACTCTGATGGTGGTCATTATAGTAATTACATTCTCAGTATATTGCTAATTGAAGGAAGACATTAACTTTGACCCAGACTTAGCGGAATAATAGTTTATTAGTTTTACTTGTTGAGAAACTATTTTTAGTAAAATGTCAGGTAAGAGTAGTTAAATAAGTGGTTAAAATTGAAAATTTTCTGTAAAAAACCCAAAGAAATAACAAACAAGAAAACAGAAATACAATACAAAAAAGTTCAAATCACTGATGTATACTCAATCAATCATATGTGAAAATTTGTCATGGGACTATGAATTCTTCTGTCGATAATTATCCCCCAGCAGATTACTAGTAATCGTTAAAGAGAAAACATGTGTTAAAAACAACAGATCTGACCATCGTTAGTTTAACCAAGTTTTTAAAACTAGCTTCACCGCTAGTGGGGCATTCTGTGATTGTATGCAGTCTAGTGTGGTGCAGTTTGAAAAACACGGCATGATAAAAACATTTTCTTGCCCCAAAGGTTTAAACCAATGTAATAAAACACTCTCATCTAACTTCTAATTTACAGAAACCTTCAATAACTGGGAAAAACAAGTTAACTGATATCAAAATACAATGGTATCAAAACAACTGAATTCTGGTTAAAAAAAGAAGAGCTACAAAAGATATTTTGATTAAACAATGGAAAATTCAAATATGGACTGGATACCAAATGACATGAGGGCGCTGTAGATGATGTTCTTAGATACAGTAATGACACTGTAACTGGGAGAATATTTTCATTCCTGTGACATGCTTGGAGAGGTCTCTAGGGGTCAATTGGCATCTTTACAATTTACCTTGAAAAGGTTCTAGAAACATTATATATATTTATGCAAATATATCCCTATATAACATTGCAAAATGGTAGTAATTTTGAACAGAAATGGTAACATGGGCCTCCAGTAGTATTTTTATCAAATTTTTGGAAAGTTTGAAAATTGCCATATTAAAATATTGGAGAACTACTAGTATTAAAACCACATTAATTTCTCATTGCTTTTATGTAATTATCATGGCACCATATCATTATACCAAATTCACACATTTTATACATTATGTATTTCCACTGTTGATCTTTACTCATTAACTCTAAATTTTTAAAAATGAAATAAAACAAAAAAGTGTAAGGTACTGGGAAAGGTGCGGTGACTTTAATGCTGAAATGTGTGTAGCACTTGGGGGCAGTCAGTTTGATCAAGGAGGCCTGGAATCATCAATCAGGATGCAAGAAAAAGATGGAATTATGTCTAGGCTATGAAAGAACCACGCATAGAATAGATATGTTTAAGCAGCTGATTCCGTGACAGACTCCAAAGAACAGCAGCAGACTAGGAGCCGGGCAGTCATTGGTCAGCTCGATGTTCTACTGAACCTTCCTCAGCGTTGATTTCATCCACTGTGAATAGATATCTCCGTAAACATGTCAGTTTCTCTTTCTATCATGGATGACCTTCATTGTCTGCAGATAATTTTTAGTGTATCTATGCCCTTGGTCAAGGAGTGTGAAAGCAGAGATACCAAGAGGCACTGAGACATCTGAACCCCATGGAAATCCCTAGTATTTCTCTTCTCTTGCTCTCACTTTCTCCTTAAGTACTGCTCATTCCATCTTTTCATGGCTTCATATCTATGCACATTTCCGTCCAAATCACCTTCACCCATCCACTCGCGGGTCATCTTTCATAGCTTAGGGGTAAGTCCACCTTTCCCTGAGTCTAATTGGCAATCCTTGGTCTCCTTGATTGAATCGACCTCCCATAAATAGAACACACAATTCAGCATCAAAGTTACAACACCTTTCCGTAAGACTTTTCTAAGCTGGGTACAAGTAGGAGCCCTCTATTGCCTTCTAGACAGAGGCTTTGCTCTCTAGAATCTTCTCTTTTACAAATATAAGTGGGACTAAATGAATGGATACTTGGCAATAGGACAGAAAGAGGGGCATGAAGAGTAAAAAAGACAGGAGGCTAAGGGTGCTCACCTGGTTGCAGACAGGTTTGTACTTGAGCCCTGGCTTGTTGAGGATCATTTCCAGCTGCCTGCGATTGAAGTTGGACACCCCGATGGACTTGGCCAATCCTGCATCTTTACATTTCTCCATGGCCTGGGAAAAAGGAATTGTGAGGTAAGTGTAGTCAACTGAAGGTCAAGATAAATATGACACAGAACTGTGAAAGAAACAACTGTCTAGATATGACAATCAAACTATGTAGCCGTGGTTCCTAAAAGGGAGAAAATAAAACAGAAAATTGGGGAAGAAGATAGTGATTGCAAGAGTAAGAATTTGTTTCTTCCTTAGGAAACTGGAGAGATTAGTGCACAGGCAAGGAAAGAAATCCCAGTCCTCCTTACCCTCAATTCTTCTCCACTTCTCTCTTTTGTATGCCTGTCATTTCTTTTTCCTTACTGCTTACAAAAACTACCTTTGTAAAACTCCTAAGTTTTTGATCCAATGGTGCATTTTCCATTCTTGCACTTGAGAGATAGGAAACAGATATCTCCTATCTCATCTTTCTTATGTGTGCTCTCCTCCAAGCACTTACCTCCCACGTAGCACAGAGATCCACTGTGTCAAATAGTACTTTTCCATTTTCATCTTTTGGGATCATCTCCTCACCTGGCTGAAGTAGAAGCAGTCAGTTTAGTAATGTCACAAATAAATTTCCCCACACATAGCCATGCTCTGAGGTACATTTAAGGACACTAATCCTCCATGACGTAGGTGACACAATGCTCCTAAGAGTGATATGTACAAACTGTGCTACATATGAAGGTATAAGGAATGTCTTCAGGAGACAGACTTCCTCTAATATCTTATAACTATTATATGTATAAATAAATACCATCTTTCAGGTTACTAATGGAGTGTCATCATTGACTTACATTACTTTCTTCTGCTCCTATAATTTTCTCTGTGACAATACCTCTCTTCAACTGCAAAAGACCTTGATATCCAGGAATAAAGTATTGTACTTTGGACCCAGATGCCACTATCAGAGTTCTTTATCTCCCTGAACATGTGATGTTCCATGGACAGGACCATGAACCAATCATGGTCCATGGAGGCGTTTTCAAGGCTAGTTTGGAAGTTGGGAAATGCACAGGAGCTCACGGTAATGACCATGAGCCTGAAAGTGCTCCAAAGCCATAAATGCCACCAATGAAAAAGGTTGGAACAAATATTTTAAAAGCCTTTTGTAATAAAGCAGAGATAAGGCTGGAGAAAGGATACATTTTTAGAGATTTTATCAAATTCTGAATGTAACCATGGCTTTGACTTCCCATTTTTATATCTAATACACCCTTGCATTAACTAGTCTGAGTAGTTTTCTGTAACCTTAAAATAAAAGTTATGAATGACACAAGAATTCATGGCTAAGCAAAAATAAAAACTCCAGTGTGAAAAAAGAGGAAGCAGAAGCAACAAGGTTTCCTATGAAGGTTTGTAGTTTAAGACACACCCGGACTGAGTTCTCGCCCCTTGAAAAGAGGCAAGAAGATGGAAACTCATTGTTCACCCTATGTGCAACAGCTTTTCTGGACACCACAACTTCAGGAAGCTCTGTGTCTGTAAACATCCCAAGAGGTGAACTTAGGAGTCATAACTAAGACCTTGTGCCTTCAATGAGATGATTGTCACTTCCTCAAGTTTTTGAGGCAGAGGCTTTGAGGATTCTGCACTCTCTTTTCTTGTAGACATGCATCACGGAAGTATGGATTCAAAATGTGTTCAATAGAAAGGGATTTAGGAGTTATGTTTAGGGCTCTTCTTCCATGTTATAATACCTATGTCCTCCTAAGAAAATGCTTAGTTCAAATATCCATGAAAATCTAGGAAAATGCTTAGTTGAAATATCCATGAGAACAATATTTATGTTGACAACAAAAGTGAAATAAATTTGATCACATAAGCTACCCACCTTTACAGACACTGGAAAATGAATAAGATAAAGGTCAACATAGTCTAATTGAAGATTTTTCAGTGACCTTTCCAAGGCTGGTCGGACGAACTCTGGTCGATGGGAATTGCACCAAAGCTGCAGAGATGAGAGAAAGGAAGTTGTGTAATGAAAACGTGAGCCAATTTTACTAGTGTGCTCCACCTAATATGTAGACATTTTCTACTACTTCAAAACTAATGATCACAGGCAAACTTATTCTCTCTCTTCTTGTGATGCCTTTTGTTCTGCCATATCCTGATGAACTTTGTAATATGTTGGATATATTGTTAGTACATATATTGAATGAAAGAGTGAAATTACTCAAAGGGTAAAAATTGTTATCAAATCATAAGCATACCCATTACCTGAATTATCTTTGGTATGTTTTACAACTCATGTTAGTAGTGTAATTATTTCATCTATTCAGCCCAATGGGCAAGACTAAGTATCTTTGTGGTTTAGAAGCTTAGGAAGCACACACAGTTTTTTAATACGCCAACTAGGGCTGGACACAATTTGAGACAATGTAGGCATTATTATTTAATACTCACAGAGCTTGCTTATATTGCTTTCTCTCTCTGTATGATCAACACAATAATGGAAACTGAGAATCGTAACAAATCTAAGAAACTCACCCAGGACGTAAGTAATAATATAATATGATTAGGATTCTTTCTGATTCTGTATTCTATGTTAAACCATACTGATCTGTGCTGAACTCAGAAAGGAAAGGCACTTTGAAGTCTGGAACACTGCAAAGATGAGAAAGTCATCTTCATTTCCTGCTTTTGATTTTGGTTTTACTACATGAATAATTGTGAATAAATTGAAATAAATAAGCACAATTCACCCTCAACTATGGATCCAGTCATAGAATTGCCACCTCCACACAATCACCATAAACACATGTACACACAAGCTCATCATAGGCACGGTACCTTTGAAGTGTAGAATATGTCTTCTCTCTTCACAGTGCCATCTGCAATCTTGCTTCGGATGGCCAGTCCAACGTACTCCTCATTATTGTATAAATGAGCAGAATCAATATGGCGGAACCCAGCTTCTATTGCCAATTTGGTGGCCTCTAGAGCTTTATTTTTAGGAACCTGGGGGAGCAACCAAAGGTAGTATTTTCTGACTAGTGTGCCTGAGGATTAGTTCAGGCACAAGCAGCGACGTTCACAAAAATCAGCTTTTCCTCCTTTCTTGGATGAGTTCTATATGTAGAATCGTAAGTCCATCCCAGTCAGCCTGGGTCTTTCCCAGTTAGTAATAAAGGTTGGGCATAGCAGGAACTTCTGCAGTCACAGAAAATCACTGTTTGATCACTAACTTGGAACTGTCCCCAAAATAATTTCAGGTTCAGTGAGTTTTTTGAAAAATTAACAGGACGCAACCTACAGTTATAGATATAATCTTAATTAATTTTAGTATGGTGAAATTAACACGAGGAATGGCCGGACTCGGTGTCTCACACCTGTAATCCCAGTACTTTGGGAGGCCGAGGCAGGGGGATCACGAGGTCAGGAGACCGAGACCATCCTGGCTAACACGGTGAAACCCCGTCTCTACTAAAAACACAAAAACACTAGCCTGGGAGGTGGCGGCGCCTGTAGTCCCAGCTACTCTGGAGGCTCAGGCAGGAGAATGGCGTGAACCCCGGAGGCGGCGCTTGCAGTGAGCCAAGATTGCGCCACTGCACTCCAGCCTGGGCGACACAGCGAGACTCCATCCCAGAAAGAAGGAAAGAAAGAAGAAAAAGGAAAGAAAGAGAGAGAGAGAGGAAGGAGGGAGGGAGGGAGGGAGGAAGGGAGGAAGGGAAGAAAGGAAGGGAGGAAGGGAAGAAAGGAAGGGAAAGAAGGGGAGGGAGGGAGGGAGGGAGGAAGGAAGGAAGGAAGGAAGGAAAAGAGAGAAGGGGAAATAGCTACATGGAAGGAATTATGAAGGAATGCAGTGTAAGCTCCTGTGATTCCTCTCCCACCACGTTGCTGCACAGAACGCTCTGACTTTATCCAGCATCACATTTTGTCAATGTATGTGAACTGTTGTCTACAAGAGATGCTCTCTACATACTCCATTACTAAGATTTTGTCTGAGACTGCTTACATTGACTTACTCTGCCTAGCAGACACAAAACTTCCAGTCTCCAAAAGGAAAGCAGGTGCACAGAAACTCCACAGTTTGCACAAGCAGTTACTTATAGCCACCATTCTTATAAGTTAGGAAATAGCGAGAAATCCACCTTATCAGATACCAGCAGGTTTATATTGGAAACAGGCCTATCTATGCATAGCAGTCTATTATGTTAAGTCTTTTCTACCCAGCCTTTGGCCATTCTGTCTACATGACAGAACTAAATACTAGGAGCAGAGATGTATACTCTAAGGATATTGATTTGTATATATACAAGAAATAGACTGCAGGGAGTAAGTCATTAGCAAAATGGGGTTCGGCTCCACAAATTCAAGGCAACTCTATTAGGAAACATATGATTGCAGTGAAAGTTACAATTATTGACTTACATAACAAATGTGGATACAGATTTGAAAGTATATCTTTTAAATGACAAAAACAGAAACAAAGCAAACTGTTTTCCTATCTTAAAAGTATTTCAGAGGCTTTCTTTTTCCCACGAAATTACAAGGAACTAGATACTGGGTCTCCCAGCCCACTCCTCATACCATCCTCGATCATTTCTTTGCTGTGCGAGCACTCACAGGCTCACCGAGGCCGGAGCTTCAGTGGTGTTCTCATCTTTACTTCCTCTCCGTGCCAATTTATATTAAAGTAAACCACTCCTGTCAATGGCCTTCAAAATGTCCCTTTGTAAATACTTATATCGTATAGATGAGAAATGTGAGACTCAAATTTTATATAACTAGTCCCTATTCATACACATTGTATTCCCACGACAGTCTTGAGATACAAGTTTTCTTCCAGTATAGAAAGAGCTAAGCCTAGAAAATAAAATCTACTCCATTAATTTTCTTGTCAGAGAAACAAGAAATTTCTCTGTTATAATATTTTGATACAAATCTGACCCATATAAACAAAGACAAAGAATTTAAATTTTCCTTGTTACGTTCTAGTATTTTTTTTTTTCTTAAAAAGAGGATATTTTATCCTTTCAGGTAATTTTCCTAGAGGTGAGAGTAGTACATGGGAAATTCTTTTTAGTCTAGCTCTAGTATTACAGTTTGGTGCACGAGGCTGCCCATCAGAACAGTGATACTCTCCCAACAGATTTCATGCAACCCGTCTCCACTAACTTTTGCCATAAAGATTCCTCTGAATTGTGTCTTCTTGGAAGAAGTAAATATCTGTTCAACTATACAAAGAGATAGAGAAACCACTCCCATTGCAATCAATCTTCAAGAGAGGGGGCAGGCAGGCCGTGTTCTTTCTGCTGAGTTTTATAGACTCTGACAAGCTGTGAAATAAACATAAACAGAAGACAAAACAGTGCCCCAAATAAGCAGTAGATGACCCTGTGACAAGACTGCATTGCAGAACAAAGACTGTCGTTTTAAGGAGAGTCATGCAGAGTAACTTGGGAACACAAGCCTGACAACCTGGTCAGCTTCCACTTACTCTAGCTTTGCTCCTTTAAACTCTCAACACTAAAAACATTAGTATTACCTCTGCAGGCGCATAGGTGCCAAATCCCAGGACAGGCATGAAGTGACCATCATTCAGCTTCACACACTGATGTTTCGAATCCATTTCTGTCACTGGCCTGACTGGCAAATGTGTCTTTCTTCCTCCCTCACAGGCTATAAGACCAATGAGCAGGCAACGCCCCTGGACACACTGTCTGCCTGTTAACCAATGGCATGTGAGAGGAGGGACAGAGGCAGTCTTACATAAGCTATGATAAAAATTGAATCCAGTTCAACCGTTTCTTATCTAAGAAAATTCCTAAGTAAATTATTATGCAGTCATGATACACTCACTAATTTCTCTCTGAAGTATTTTTGCTATTCCAAGTCTCTATTTATGAGACATAAATTATTCAAAGAGATTTGTAGAACAAATTGTGAGTTTACATAAGACTGTAGAAACCTCCAGCTACAAAGCTCTTTTTTGTTTGTTCCATGGTGACGTTCCTTCTGTATCTTGCATTATTTGAAATGATTAATTTTCATTTTTCTCTCTCTCACACACACAGTTTAAAGGAATGACTAATGAGTATTTCACTAAAATATTGCCCTCAATTAAAAATTAAAGTTTATTTTATTTATTTATTTATTTTTTGAAATGCAGTCTCGCTCTGTTGCCCAGGCTGGAGTGCAGTGGCACAATCTCGGCTCACTGCAAGCTCTGCCTCCCAGTTCACAACATTCTACTGCCTCAGCCTCCCAAGTAGCTGGGACTAGAAGCACCCACCACCATGCCCGGCTAATTGTTTTGTATTTTTATTGGAGATGGGGTCTCACTGTGTTAGCCAGGATGGTCTCAATCTCCTGACCTCGTGATCTGCCTGCCTCGGCCTCCCAAAGTTCTGGGATTACAGGCGTGAGCCACTGCGCCTGGCCTAAAGTTAAAATTTTTAAATGCATTACTGTTTTCATCAGCAAATTTACTGTTTCTTTCTTATTAGCCTTGTAAGAGAAATATCCCTTCCTGATCAAGCTGCAGTCCCGATAAACTTGTAATGCTGATGTGGGTGTAAATAAAAAATAAAATTCCATGTGGTTTTACTAGAGGATTTCTTATTAACAGCTTTTGGACTTTGGATATAATTTGTAACACGCAAACTGTGCCTTATCTTATTTGTCTTTTCCAGCCGGTTTTATAAGTTACTATCAAAAAGTAACAAGCCAAAAACCTGATAACTATTAGATATACTTTATAATATTGTTAAACACTATTCATAAAGAAAAACTGGTAACTAATGACATATAAACTGGTGAATAATCCTCACATGGGATAATTTTTACTTTATCTTCCCTCTGGAGGGCAGGTTAGAACATGAATGTAATTTGCATGATCCATGATTCACATCTTGGAAGAGTCACAACTTGCAGTGACCTGATTGCTTCTATTGGCTTTTTCATAAAACAAACAGAAATTGAAACATAGGTAAATTGTTATACATTGACATAAATGTAATATTATAAAGATATTGAAATTTTTCACAGAGGATAATTTCAACAAGATGGTGGATTATAAGACTCCCATATGACTCATGGAAACATCAGAAAATATCTAAAATTGAGTGAAATAAACTTATTTATTTATAGAGTGGCTCAGTAGAGATTCAGGGTGACTATACACATACAGATGTTACAGGCAAAAGACTAGGGGAAGAGACATGCAATAGTCCATCTAAGCCACTGAGGAGAAACTGGGATACAAAATTTTGTAATAGCAAGTGATTCAAAAGCCATTGGTTATTTGGGGAAAAATAAAATGGCAAAAACAATCCATGTAGGTGCGTGTTCAGAAACAAACTAAGAAGGCCTTGAGGTTTTATGTAGGGCTGAGTGCTTGCGACTGAGAACCTGCCCAGCATATGAGATTGGATGACTGTCCATGAGAGAACAAATCTATATACAGTAAAAAAAGATGTTTATTTTTTCAAATGCCCAGCTTAAATAAAATAACAAGGCATACAGGCCCGGCATGGTGGCTCATGCTGTAATCCCAGCACTTTGGGAGAGGACCACAGGAGGGTAGATCACCGAGGTCAGGAGAGGGAGACCATCCTTGGCACTAACATGATGACACGCCACTCTCCCTACTGAAATTAAAAAAAAAAAAATGGCAGACGTGGTGGTGAGCACCTTGTATCCCAAGCTACTCGGGAGCGCTAAAGCAGGGCGAAATCACTTGACCCGGGACGGCAGAGGTTGCAGTGGCGAGATGCGCACCACTGTACTCCAGCCTCGGTGACCGGCAAGACTCCAGCCTCAAAAAAATAAAATAGAAACAAGGCATGACAAAGTAAACAAGAAATCACCGTCCATCTGAGAAAGAAAATGAATCAGTAAGAAATCATTTCTTGAAGAAGTCACAGGCATTAAATATAGTAGGAAGCATATTCAAACAGCCTCATATAAATATGTTAAAATTGCCTATGAACTTGGAATAGAACTATAGAAAAAGCTGATAAGAAAATCAAATGTAGTCATACACAGAAACATATAAAGAAAGGACATATGGACTAACAAATAATACCTGAATGAAACTCACCAGTGCGGTGTTTCAGAGCCAAATTTGAGAAGGATCGAAGATATTAAATGCAATGCACACCAGGGGATACCCGCACATTGAAATGCTCCTGTGTGTCAACGGAAGCGGAACAAGAATAAAGAAATTGGACCGGTCCTACATGGTCACTTTTGGGTACACCTTCAAAGCCAACCAGTATGATAGTATCTGGATTCCCAGAAGGAGAAGCACAAACATGATGGTAGAGAGAGTTATTTGGAGAATAAATCATCAACTTTTTCAAATTGGGTTGAAGACAAGGAATCTCAACATTCAGGCAACTTAAAGCACTGCATA